ATCTTTTGGAAGCAGAAAGCCTCATCTTTGTTGGTGGGTTCGAACTGCTGACTTTATGGTTAGTAGCCCAATGGATAGCCCGCTATGCCACCAGGACTTCTATGGAAGAATTAAAAGTATCAAACACTGCTATCAAGTCAATTCCATTTCACACAAGCCCTTCTGGGTTTCCAAGATTGTTAACTCTATGGAAGCAGAGAGCCTTATGGAGCAGCTGGTGGCTTTGAACTACTCACCTTGTGGTTAGTAACCACTATACCTCCAGGGCTGTTTGAATTGATTAGCTCAAGACAAAGGAATCTCAGTCTCCTGAATCGCTTCTGGACCTTTTGACTAAGATCAAGTGTAGTATTTTAGTCTCCTGAGTCTAACTAACTTAGAATTAGTCACTTGCCATCTTTCAAAGGCTGAGAGGCTAGGATAGGATAGAAGAAGTATTCATTAACAGGTTTGTTTTGTTTTTAATTGAACACTTACTTGGTGCCAGACATCCTTCTTGGAGCTAGGCTACCTCCTTACTTTCAGGGCCCCTCAGCATTTGTTTTTTTGTCCTTCATGGATGTTTTTTGCCATTACAAAATATATTAAGAAGTATAGTTCATTCCTGTGTTGGTCTAAAAACAGATATAATCCTGCATTCCTTTCTTCTGGTTTTCAAAGACATGGGGACATTTTCATGACCTCCCCAAAGGGTCTTGAGCCCTACACACTGTGCTTACTGTGCCTCCTGGAGAAATCAGTGCAACACATGACAGTAGTTCAAAAGCCCCAAATCTCTGCCCTCAAAGAATGTATGTTTGTGCTAAAAACAATTACCAGAGATTTCAGACATGATAGAATGGTTGATGGAGATGCTGAGAGCTGGAATGGGTTACCCTGCTCTTCCCCGGTTACATTTAAACTAAACAGAATGACAAAAGGAGAAATCAACCTTGCCTACCCCTACCCGTGCCAAAACAAAAACGACCCCCCCAAAAAAAATCAATGTAAAAGAACCTTCCAAGTAGTCAGAATCGGCAGAAAGACCCTCCTGCAGAAAGGGACTTGGCCTTTGAAAGGAACAGCCAGAAAACCACATTGTCTGGAGCCCGTTTGTCCCTTGCAGACCCAGAGACTGAGCTGGGATTCACGGATGAATAGTATGCACAATGTTGGGAAAGAACTTGAAAAACAACCACAGAGCTAACCAGCCACAAACACAAGGAGCAACGTTAAGATGGAATGCTCTGCTGGAGGCCTCTGGGCAGAAGAGCTGTTACCCAGGATACACCCTGGTTATGAAGTGGTTACTTACTGGGCTGCTAACTGCAAGGTAAGCAGTTCAAAACCACCAGCTGATCCTTGGGAGAAAGATGGCTTTCTATTCCTGCAAAGAGTTACAGTTCCGCAAACACAGAAGCAGTTCCAGCCTGTCCTATAGGGTCACTATGAGTCGGAATGGATTGGACAGCTGCGCATTCAGTTTTGAGAAACCCACAGGACAGTTCTACCCTGGCCGATACGGTCACTGTAACTTGATGGCAGT